CTGACGTTTCGAGCGTTAGCCCTTCGTCGGGGCGACGACGAAGGGCTAACGCTCGAAACGTCAGCTTTTGTAATCGCTACGGTGGCCAATTTACCACTTCAACTTTGTTGATATATCCATTTTACTTTCAGTTGCTTGTCTCTTCGGCCTTTTGAGACTTGAGGAAATCCCGAACCATTCCAGTTCCAGTTTGTGTTCGAATTGGACTTTGAGTTTAGGTTATAATGGTAAAAACTCCCACCATCATGGGAGATTGTTGTACTTTGGCACTTGTAGTTTAAGCCTCTGCTGTTAATGCCGAGGGGAGTTTGCTCTCTGCGGGAAATATTTATCTCTTTCCACTTTGATGTTAATTTTCCAGGAAACGCCGTTAGTCCATTGAAATTTCCTATACGTTGAGAACTAACAGCTGATATTGTGTGACGGGATCGTGCGGTTCTTTTTTTTTTTTAGCCAACCCTGCGCCTTAGTTGTCATTATTCGCCGTTGTTTGGTCTCGTCACGCAACACATGCTATCCGACGAGACCAAATGGAGGAGACTAACCCTGCCTTTTTTGTTATAAAATTCCTCCTCACCCGCTGCGAAGATCGAAATTGCTGCTTTCTATAAGTTAAGTTTAGTGGCGATGTTGATGTATTTTTCGATCCTGAGCCTAGTCGTGTCTGTTTCCGAAGTCATTTTTTTTTTTAATTTTCGCCGCAGAGGTTCTTGTTGTTTGTCGAATGAGATGTTTTAATGCACAAAAAAGTGTCTTTGAGAACGAGGTTTCGCATCTATTTGGCCGCTAGTGGCGTTATTCCTTTCACACAGCGTTGAATTTTTAACAAATTTCGTTTTAACTGAGGTAATCTGATTTTAAAATTATAAAACCAAACGTAACTCGAAGTCGAAGTCTCCGGGTTCAACCCGAAATCCATTTAGAGGTGCGACTCAAACACTGGAATCCAAACCCCATTAATCCCTACTGCCTCAATCAAGGTTTCTGAAATTTTCCAGAAAGTTTTCCTTTTACAATTAAATGTGCAGCTCGAACAGTCTATGAAAACTACATTGATTTGGGTTCTCACAGTTAAAATCAAACATGATAATGATTATTTATAAGCTGCACTTCTATCTCAGAATGCTGTCGCGTGACAATTTTTGACATTAATTCACACACCAAGAGTGTTTTGAAGAAAACAAATTCATATCATATTTGGTTCGCTAATTGTTTTTTTTTTTTTCGCACTTTTCACGACAAACTGTTCGCTCTCACAGTGCAAGTGAGAAAAACGATAAAGGAATATCTGTGAAAGTTCGTATTTAAGTTGAATCTATTCTCGATGACTAGGTAAAGTTTCACTTTTTCACAACGTGATTCGAAATTCTGGGCCTGGTGCGAAATGTTAACACAAAACAACGACATAATTTGATTAAACGAGAGATAAATCTCCACCTACATCAATTCTTATCCAGTTGAGACTGCTTATGTCTACGGAGGTATATCTTTCGAAAAGGAAAAGATTAAGTTTCCTATCGGACCTGTCCATGCGAAGAAAACTGTTGCATAATTGAAAATCTGAAGCACGAATGCATCGAACACGAGGCTGTTCCATGCGTAAATATTCCTCGAATCTACCATAATGGCTCCCAGAAGACGACAATTCAGTGATAATACAGCAATGGCGACGAGACAGAATAGCATAAAGATTTGAAATATTGCAGAGCCATAACAAGGAGGAAATATTTGAACAAACAGCTGCATTAATTGTTGTCACAAATTCAACGAGAAAAAGAATGTGATAATGACTCGTGTCCTTCCAGCTGAAAATTTTTTACCTCAGGCTAAGAACGACACTTAGCAAGGAAAATCTTCTTACCTTTTTAAATAGTATCTTCCTACAACGCTGGACAAGCCGATATACGTTTGTGTCCTGTTTAGAGGTAAATCTGACCACATTAACACTCCAGCTCTGGAACGCCTTGGGATATGTTGTGTAGCAGTGCATGTTCTGTCTTGTCACGCCACGAGCAAATCACGTTACAGACGCGTCGACATTAATCTGGGAGACTGGAGCCGAGTACACAAGGTAGGCTTCACGCCGGTTTCAGTTTGGCGTAATTCATCACAGAAACTGTTCTAGGTAGGTGACTACACTCTATCAAAAAAAAAAAAAACCAACGTAAAAACGGGCGACAGAATAAAAGCGTTTCCGAGTCTCCCTTTGTCACAGGCAAAACTGAAACAAAAAATAAAGTGTCCATGCATATGGGTCTCAAGAATATTACCAACTGCTGATATGAAACGCAAGTTACAGGTCTGGGGTGGGCTGTTTGTATTCGAGTTTTGAGCTCCTATGGAGTTGAACCTCTCCCTAGCTGGACTCTGAGTTGGGGTCAAATTTAAAACAACTTACAAAGTTCAATTGGATCATGTGAAGTTGGACATTGACCCGCATGCGATATAAGAAGTAATTTCGCAAATTAAATTTTCAAAATGTTTTCCGCAAAAAGCACTCATACCTTCATTCTTTTCTCTTGAAGGTTCAAGTTATCGGAAGTGGACTGCAATTAGCGTTCCAAGGGGTTAACGTCACCGCGCTCATCTGAAGAAGCTCTTCAGGAAGTGAAATGAATCCTCACAAGGACATCGTCACGAAACAGAGAGTCACGCTAAAAAGTTCGACTTGGAACTTTTAAATGTGCACTCGCCGGGAATGTGGGGAATGGAGGGGAGAGAGTGTATGGTTTCTCGTGGCTACATTCCTTCCAGTCGTGTAGGCCATCTTTCATCTTAAAGGAATAAGGTAGCTCTCGGTAGTTGACAAACTATCGATGCATTTTTTGCCCGGAGTAATATAGTCCCTTCGGACATGTTATAAAAAAACTTCACAAAAAGCCGGATTCTGACCCCTTTTCTGTACTACTCTTTACTTTAAAAAAAAACTTCTTCACCGTTGTAAAACTTCTTAAAAATCTGTCAACGCGGCGACTTAACTGAGTTGGGCAAAGCTTCTCCCAGTCTTATGACTATAAAAAATCACAGCAATGATCACGTGCGACCTGTGGTAATGTATAAAGGAACTTCACGGTAACTTTAACATGTTAAAGTTTTGAGCCAAAGCTTGTCATTTGGAATTCGTTTTACCATCGATATGACCCGGCATAGAGCCCCCAGGCGCTTTTATTATCCTGAAGAATTCAGTTGCATGAGGGCCGAAGCAATGGTGTGACTCAGGACCGGAAAAAGCCGCACTCGACACCTTTGGCCCTCAAGATGCAGTGCATCAGTTTTGCATCTTGCATCTTGAAGAATAAGGAAGAGTGGTGATCTTATGATAAAATGCTCAGTGACTTTAGTTTAGCTTAGTTTGATCACACTGGACGGTTAAACATGTGGTTCTCGATCACGACGTAAGGACCTCGCTGCTCTCTTTCCGTCTGTTTTGAATTGGAGCCATATGATGACATATATTTGCCCCGTCCGGGCCGTTCTTACTCAGTCAATAAGAAAATACGTAATGATCGGCCGGCGCCCAAGGTCTCTTACTCATTCTTTCGTGTTCTTCTATTTTACAGAATTAGTGTTTTGTTCAAGTCTGAAGTGCAGGGTTTTGTATGTTACAAAACGTGATCTAAAATACTTTTAGTGATGAAGTTCCTTTATATGGTATATAAAACCCCGGGGAGGGGGGGGGACTCCCATATGAAACAGACGGGGATGCTCGTTGGAAATTTCAAATTTAACCCCTAAAAGAGACCATCTGGGCGTGGCTTAAGCAAATTTTGACCCCTAAAAGAGACCGCTCATGTTCATGCATTGTCTCTTTGGCACTTGGTAAAATAGAAAACTAGTTAATGTTGAGGTAATACGGTAAACAAAACAAGTTAAAATGAAAATTTTGCTTCTGTTTCTCTTTGCGTAATTCTGTATTTCTTCGCGGAACCCTAAACGAGACCTTGGCGGCTTGAAATATTGGCAATTTGCCTAGCACCCTAAGCGAGACCAAAATCCAAAATTTACACCCCCAAGCGAGACGACGAGCATCCCCGTATGAAACGTGATAGTATTATCTACTGGTGTCAGTTCTAGTGTATTCCCGGGGGATTAAGGTGCCTTATTGGGGTGATCAATATGGTCCATACCGCTGACGGTTAAAAAATTTTGGCCTTTTTACAGCAATCGGTCACTATATTTCCATTGCTGACAAAAGAAAGATCTTAACGTCGAACACTTTTTACGACTGGAGGTAAAAATTCGTCAGTTTTACGCCTAACAGCTAAGTTTTTTGCCGTTTTTCGACTAATGGTTAACCACATTGAGTCTTGATTAACACCTTTCTACCCTTTGTGACGCTTAGCAAAACGTCCAAGCGCTTGAGAAAATGTCAAAGCCTGGTTTGCGAAAGATAAAATTTTTAGTGAGTATTTAACAAACTTTATGTAGCTTTAGGTATTCATTCTTAGGATTGTACTGACGGCTTCAATATTTCATTGACTGAAATAACTCACGGCAACAGTTGTGAACTTGACACAAGACTTGTTTAAAAGTTCGACAATTTGGTTAATTAGAGCCTGTATGTACCTAAGCAGTGTTTTAAAGATATCAGAGATTCAAACTATTTACACGAAGTAACTAAATAACACTTACAGAAAATTCTGTAGGTCTTGTGCTGAGTTTCTCCTCAAACCAAAGTGGAGGCATTCATGAATAAAAGCTATAGGTAAACTCTAAGTGAAATCAAAAAGTACACGTAAATATAACCATTCGTTTTTGTGGAATGCGCAATTGCAAATGTCGCACAAATACCACGTTTTCACAAGTCAGAGGTGAACTAACACGTCAGCAAAAGTTAGTAGCTCTCTTTGCAAATACAAAATCTCATATATTGTGCTTTCCTGTTATAAACGTTCAGTTTTTAAACGGTGTGCAAACCTCCCTCCTGTTTTCGCTCTTCGGCAATTATCGCACCCCGGTTACCGACAGAACGCCTTTAACAGGGTGACAAAACGAACAACCAGACCGAATTAATCGCTGAACAAATTCCCTAATTCTTCTTGGTGGACAAAATATAAAGGAGTAGAAAAATAATGACTCATCATCTTTTTCTTAAAACCGGATATTTTATCCAAAAGTTAACACTGTACATACCATTATTAATATTGAATGCCATTAGTTACAGTTGAGTGATGTCAACTTCAATTATATTTAGACCTTTATTTAATATTGTACTGAAACAAAAAGATTTTAACTCAGGTAAAGTTTACAGCACAATCTATGGAAACCTCAATACGAACTAGTGAATGAGACTCCACCTAAGAGAATGCTGTTGTAGTTCCAGGAAACTTCAAGCTTCCGTTCTTTCCGAGAGCTTGTAACGCACCGGTTACGTAACCATTCTCGATACAATCTTTTGACGCATTCCGTCACCCTTATAGTTAAAGTTACGTTTGGAATATTTTCATACACAAAAGCAAAATTCTGAAGTCCAACTATGAAAAATTTAACCTTTCCTTATCATTAACAATCTTTACCAATTTTCCCCGGTTTCATATCATTAAAAAAATATTTTCTTGTGTGAATGTCAATCAAACTGAAGCTTCATCCATTATGTTCATCGAAAGAATGTGTATTGAATCATTCTCTAAGATGCTTATATCTAAAGAATGTTACGAAAACACATCAATTTTCTGCGGTTGTAAAACGTGTTCAAGGCTCTTGAATAGCCCCAGGGCATTTCTCAGAAATCGAGGAAGGAAAGGCGACAAGGAAAAATAAATTCTGAATTTCGTGATAAAGTTCTCGATCACTTTCTTCTGCTCAAAATGTACTTCTCTTTGTTTTCTTCATCTGCACATTGTCATTCAAAAACTCGGCTGAAAATGCAGGCGATTCATTGAAAGAATGCGTGACTATATTATATTCGATAAGACCTAAAAGATTTGCATAGAACTTGAATAGGATGCAGTAGCGGGTGGTAGTCTTTAAAGGCAATTTTCATCCTATTCAAAGTTTTCAATTTAAGCAAACAAACAGCGACAGAACCGAAAGTAAATCTCTGATAATTTGAACCTATAATACCTTACCATTACCGATTTGAGTACTTTAAATTCATACTTTGTACAATTGAAATAAAACCGTACGTTTAGACAGTGTGTATACTGCTGTCCTGAGAAGAGGCATGGGATGATGTCCTATGAGTTTGTGGGGGAGATAACTCCATCTGGGAACTGAAAGGTACTCTTCCCTCCTTTTCCCTTTCCATATAATTGTACGTCTCGTCCCTAAACGTGAATCTTCCTTCCCCAGGGTTGGCAACGTCCGTATTGCTAAGCAGGAATCCATCTGTCCGCCTCTTCCCGTGAACAACGTGGTAATATATAAACAGCAGAACGTTTATAAAAAGGATTCCGCAGAGGACGGCGAGAACGATGTTTACGTTCAAAACTTGACAGTGAGTAGGATCAAACTTGTCAGGGTTGCATGATGCGTTTCCTTTGTTTGTTAAACGAAGAAATAATGAAATAACAGCGGGTCCGGCGAATCGACCGAGTGCCTCAGCGAGGTTGAAAAACCCAAGGAAAACTCCTCGGCGATTTCGGGCCTCATCGCTGAAATCGGTGATCTTTTGCGAGTAATAGACACCCGCTCCAGTGAAGAAGAACGCTCCGCCGGAAGTGGAGAGAGCAACCGCTCCAAAGTAAAAGCCATTCTTCAAACGTTCGTCGGATAATCTGTAATCAATAAGCAAAACAAATCCCCAGACATTAACAATCAACCCAAGGATTGAGAACATCGCAGGGGAGACTTTTCGGTGAATTGTTGCCCGTAGGAGAATTCCAGCAACAACGAAAGCGATTTCGCCGGAAATAAAAACTTTCCATAGATCTCTCTGAGACGATATCAGGTGGTATTGTCCAAAGGCAAGGGTAAATAAATCGCTAATAATTCCCCAGAAACACGCCGTTCCGAAAAACATTGACAACATCAACACTGCTGAGTGGACAATGAGTCTTTTTGCCTCTCTGCAATTAAACTTCATTGCCATGTGTGGCGCCATTGGGTTCTTAAAAAAGAATTTTGTCAGTGGTAACATGATCAACACAACATTCGCGGTCGCCAACCAAGCTGGGGTTGTATACAAGTTAAATATTTTACTAGTCGTTGTGGTCGTCTCTTCATGACCTGCCAGAAGAGGTACAAGAAACATTTCAATTAGAGGTCCTCCTAAAAGACCAATTGCTTGGGCAAGCTTGAAACTGGCCACTGATTTTCCACGGGTTTCTCGTGGAGTCGTGTTCGTCAAGTAGATTAGCGAAAGGGTCACCGAACCCGCGCCAAGGCCTGCTACAAACCGACCGACAAAAACCATATGAAGCGACTGCGCCAAAACGGATAAACCATACAAGACATTTCCCGTTACATTAATAATCAATGACAACATCACGACGAATTTTAAGCCACGTAAATCCGAGATGTACCCTAGTAGAGGCGAAACAACGGCTTGAGCAAGAGCGTAACTACCAAACATAAAACCATACAAAGTTGCGCCTCCACCGAGCGACTTCCACAACAGTTTCACTGACAAAAGCACAACAGAATAGTCCAACGCCATTGTAAAACCAAAATAATGGACGGCAAAGGTTGATAGAAGGTTCTTTGTCGACATTGTGAAGCCTGTCAACCGGCTTTCCGCACAAAACGACCAGTAGTATGCGATCAAAGTTACTATTCATCCAGTTCCTGTTTCTTCAGTGAATGTCGAGAGAAGGCTGGGCAGAGGTCAGGCGCAACCACGTGGCGTATCGAACGCTTCACGCTTGATCATACCAGTCTCGCGTTGTACATCAGTCAACCTTTCACTAACCTTTATTTGGGCTCGTAATTTTTTTCTTTTTCTGTCAGAACAAGTATCTCAGTTATTCAGCGAAAGGAAACACACTGTTCTGAAAGCGACATCTCATCAGTCTTGTTGATAACGGCTATGAAATTCACGTCCAACAATTCAGTAAATGAGAATATCATCATACAGATGAGCATTGTTATGGTCACTCAACTGACCCGACTTGCGTCAGTAGAACGCCCCCTTACGCCCACATGAAAATAGTCTACGTGATTGGTCGTGAGCCTGAGAACTGGGTAGAGCCAACTGGAAGTCAAAATTGAGGCTTAGTAGAGTTTCAGAGAAATAAAAAAAAAAAAGTACACGAATAGATAAATTGATTAAATTTTATTCGTGTGATTATTCTTGTCCTTTAAAAGTTCCGAGAGTAAGTGATTAATCAATTCATTTCCCTTTTTTTCTGGTCACAACACTTTGTAACTAAGAGAGCACAGAATGTGCAAGTTCAATATGTTTATCACTGCTGTTTGTGTCTTATTTATGATCAAATTACGATGGCCCGAGAACAAAAGCATTTAGGAAATGAGTTGTTCAGGAAATTTGAACTCCAAGTCTTGATTTTATAAAATATATGTGACGCAGTATTTCAGACTCAATTCCAAACACATCGCAAGTGCATCCGCAAACAGTTTGATAGACTTGCTCCAAGTCGACTTCTTTTAAATACCGTGATTCAAATTCGGCGAATCCGAAATTTACGATGACGTCTCGCGAAGCGAGAGTTCTGAGGCGAGCGGCAAAGCCGCAAGAAGGAAAAGTCTAACAGTTTGTTTGGTTCTGGTTATGTTCACATCACGAGCCACAGGTAAACGGAAGTTGAAATATTTGAAAAGGCTGGTTGCTATGGAGTGACGTCATAAACTGCCTAAGTTTCCATCATCGCCATGACAGCCTTTTTTGATAATTGCTCGCAGTAATCTGAGTAATTACTTGAATTTGTACAATCTCTGTTCCTGCTGGGTACAATGAAGCCTCTTTTTTATTAGGGGCTGGATCGGCCTATTGACCTTTCGAGATTGGATTTCATATTAATATGCATAGGCAAAAGCGGGAATGTTTAGTTTCCCGCGGTCGAGTGCAGTTATGGATCCCTTCAAACTTCGAAGGGTTGAATTGCAGCATCCTCCTCCAGATGAGTCAAGGGAATGGTTTATCTTAAATTTCAAGAAATGTGGCATAAGAGTCAGCAAGTTTTTCTGAAGTAGCCTGTTAGTGGCACATTTTCCAAGCGTTTTGTACGGTCCAGCTTT